AGGAACAAGCTGAGCTAACGTTAGCATCAGACGTCTGGATCTTAAGTTATCAGAGGAACAAGCTGAGCTAACGTTGGATGTCGGGTCTGACCTGCATGGGGAAGCCAGAAATGGGCAGAAGAGACGAGACGATCTCGGGGCCGCTCTCCATCCTGGTCTGGTTCGGCAGCTGCAGAGACCAAAGGACAGACGGGATGAGGACCAGCAGACATCTCACACATGTTCAACAATGATTTTATTCTCTTTCACCGTCCACCATGTTTCTCACAACATGCTGCAGAGCTGAGCTGCAGGATTTATTAACTCTACTGACATCCATCTAATCTTTTCTACGAAACAAGTGGCTGACAAATGTATAAACACTGGTTATAAATATAACATATATTTACATATGTTATATTTATCAGCTGAAAGGAATGTGACCAAAGGAAGTTAAGAAGCTGGAGAACTTCTACTGTGAAGCAGAAGTTCATGTATTTCTGTATTTGTATGTTGTTGCTTCGGTTTGTTGGACACAGACTGGTTTGTTATGACTAAACCAGGACCTGAGACTCATTTCTTTAAAATCTAAAGCCCCAGTAGTCTGACCATCAACAGGAACCTCACACAGGATATTTGAATCTTAGAAACTTTAGAAAACTCTAGATTAACTATCAGAGATCTCCTCTGTAGCAGTCGGACTCTTCTTTTTATTACATGTGAACACATCATGATAAGGTTATAATGTACCTTCAGCCAGTACTCATGTTCACTGAGCAGAGCCTGAAGGCATCATAATGTAACTGAAGTGAACCTCTGTTGGTTAGCCGTTAGCGGTGCTGCTAACGTTACTAGCTCTCCTCCTGTTGCTTTAATCACCGATTGGTTGTTTACAATGAAACATGATCAGAGATCAGAGATCAGAGACTAGAAACACATGTTCTACTGAGTCAGTAACACTTTATTTACACTGTGATTGTTAACGGTAAACTGTGAGAGGGGTCCTATTGGACCTTCAGACTCACGTTTTAGAAAAGGAATCGAGGTGTGAAATATTTTGTGACTATTTTAACTGAGTTTGAGAGTTTTATTTGGGCAAATTAAATGATCTGATTGCGTCTGTGAAACAACAAACCGAGCCACAAGATAATAATAATATCACAAGACTCTGGCTGTAGAGGTCTGGGTGGGGTCGGGGGTGTTGGAGGCAGAAAGCAGTGCTACATACAAATATGTTTGGTCCAGGAGCAGAGCTAAGAGGGCCGGCCAAGGCCTGGAAGAAATCAGGAGGCTTAGAAAAGACGAGCTCCTCCTCCTCCTCAAAGTCTGCTAGGCTTTTTAACAGGTCGGGAGGTAGAAGAGGCTTGTTGTCCTGGTGGGGAGGAGGAGGAGGAGCAGAAGACGAAGAAGAAGAGAGGGGGGGGGGGTAAAAGAAATAAGGCAAGCCAGTAAGACTGAGCTGGAAAAGAAGGAAAGTTAAGCCAAAAGCTCTGGAATAATGAAACAAATATCAGAGATCTGCATCATTCAGCAGGTATTTATGTTGAACATCAATATTAACAGATTCATAGTCCGTCCTCGTGACACCAGGTCAGGTGACATGTTGCACCAGTTAGAGAGAGAATGTCCTCATTAAAGGTCCAGAACATCACAATAATTCTATGATTTAGTTCCATATATATTGAATCAGCCAACAGTTGTACGTCTGCATGTCAACAACTGACTGTCAGATCAAATAAATAAAGTGATAAAAACAATAATAATAATAATAATAATAATATCTCAACAATATTTATCGTCAGTTTTCAAATTGAACTGGATGAATTATAAATAATATATACATCACAAAAGAGACTAAGAGGAGAAAAAAATTAAGTAGGAAAAGAAAAAGAAGCACAGAGACAGAAAAGCAGCAGGACCTCCTCCTCCTCCTTCTCCCTCAGAGAGATGCTCACCTCAAAGGGGGGGGCCCCGGGAACCACCGGAGCCGTCTTGCTCGGAGCAGATCCCGCCCGGCGGAGGCCTCTTCATGCGGTCCGCCATCACGGCCAGACCGTCCCCCATCCTGTAGGTGGGCTCCCAGTAGAAGTCCTGCATCTTGACGTTGGGGTACTTGATCTTCTTCTCCATGCTGGCCGGCTGCAGCTGGTGCTCATACAGTTTGAGAGGATCCTGAGCCGCCATGTAGAAGGTCTGCTGCTGCTGAGGCTGCTTCATGGACATCTGCATCTTCTGCAGAGCAGCCTGACCCTGGTTCCACATCTGAGCCGGCTGATCCTGGACCTGCATGTACTGCCCAGACCAGAGACACAAACACAGTAAATGTCAACCTCAACCTCAACCTCACCGCCAACCTCAACCTCACCGCCAACCTCAATCTCACCGCCAACCTCAATCTCACCGCCAACCTCAACCTCACCGCCAACCTCAACATCACGTCAACCTCAACCTCACCGCCAACCTCAACCACACCGCCAACCTCAACCACACCGTCACGTCAACCTCCCTCCCTCACTGTCTGTCTGACATGTTTAACTGACACTGACCTGCTGCAGACCCGGGTGGTGAGGTGGACTCTTCCCCATCCCGACCTGCTGGACCGGTTTGGTGGGAGACTGCTGCTGCTGGCTCATCGCCTGCACCTGCAGCTGGACCGACTGCTGCATGGCCTGGTTCTGCTGACCCTGGTTCATGGGAACCGAGGTCCCGGGCCCCTGACCCGGACCGGAGGGCCTCTGCTGACTGTAGGGAATGTGTGACTGCTTCCCGGCCTGGCTGCCGGCTTGGGCATGGACGCCCGGCTGGAGGAACGGACCGGGGACAGACACTCCGGTGGAGAAGGCGAAGCCCGGGTTCACCTGGAGACCCGGGAACGCCACCGGGGGAGGGATCACGTAGGCTGAGGGGGGGAAACCTGCAGGAACCAAATCAGCTGCCATCAGACAAATGTGGAGTATTGTGATGTAAAACATCACTGACGATCCATTTCAGTTCACAATAAGGAGTCTGTTCATTAAGCGGCTGAGTGGTTTGGATCCATTAAACCACAGATGGATCTTAATCGATCAGAACATTTCAAAACGTGAAACATTTTAAGATATTTGACTAAAACAAAACATGGCTGCAGATTATTAATAGGTTAACCCTCTGAACACCCAAAAACCTGCCGATGGGACACTAATGACCTTTAAAGAAAGTGTAAAATCTGTCATTATCGTCAGGTTTTCATCTTTCCGACAGTCCTTGAACACATCATATGCGACAAACGTCTACGTCAGAAAAATAAGCCAAAACGATTAAAATGTTGATATTTAATCAAGAACATTTTATTCTTCATGTCTCATTTAAAATCTCTCCACAAATAAAGCGTTTACTTTAACCAGATTTTATAAAAAAAACTAGTGCTGGGCAACTTATCGCGTTAACGCATTAATTAATTAACGTCGACAATTATTTTATCGCGCATTAACGTAGTTTTTTTTTAATGCAATACACACCGTTGATGCAGCAAATCACCCAAACAAACGGTGGAGGAAGTCTTCAGACTACGTTGATGCAGCGTGTGGGAGAAGTAGAGATAAACTAAAGCAAGACAAGCTAACAAATGCTACAGAGAAGTGGAGACAAACTGCAGGTTAGTGTTGTGGAAGATGTCGGTCTGAGGAACGTTCTCAAGGTGCATTCTCGTCACGTTTGGTGTGAACGCAGCTTTAGGATCTCAACGAATGACGTCATGTATGAGCCTCAAGACGCACCGTCACCAGAAGAACACACGAATTGTATTAAAGGAGAGGACGACTAAAGCGACGGCGTTACAACGAGCAGCAGCTGCTGCTCTCACTGGAGACTACTGGACATCGCTGGGTCACCATCATCGCCTCTGAGTTCCAGCATCGTAGTGATGAAGAGTAGAGCTGGGTCACCTTCATCACCTCTGAGTTCC